CGAGCCGAGGGTGGGCGGGCATCCCTCGCCAGGAAACCTTTCGAGAGGGAAAGGGAATGCTGCTTTTTCACTTCTTTGCTGCTGAAGTGAAGCAAAGGAGGTGGAGCTCAGAGTAAATCCCAATGGCCATTTCAGGGCAAAGGGATTTCTAGGATGGTTTTTCATGTTGTGGCCCAGGAATTTCCTTCAGGACATCAGAGGAGTCTCAAGGTTGTGCCCAACAAGAGGCCTCTGAGCTGAGGGGTGAGCACAGCTGAGCAGGTACGGCCGTCTCCTTGGCTGTTGCCGGCGTGGCATGCTGGAAAGGAGGGTTTGCTCACAGCACAACCGTGCTCTGAGCGAGCTGAGGTGGAGGTGTACGATAAGCAGTGTATTTAAAGCCCAGCATTTCAAAAGTCAGATGACCAAGCCAGTTGATTTAAAAGATCAGAGCAGCAGAAGTTTTGTCATCTTTCTGGCTTCTATGGACATGAAATAGTTGAGTGGAGCACTGAATTGCAGTTCTGCTTTCTGTTTCAAGTCTGAAGTTTTTGCAAAGCTTTGCAGTGGAAAGCTAAAGCAGTTCTTGTGGTATTGGGAAAAAAAAAAGTATAACCATGGAAACTCAGAAATCTGCTTTACCTGGGCCCAGCTGGGGCCTGTTGCTTGGGCTGGGCTCCTGCAGGGTAGGGCCTGGCCTGCGCGCCCGCCGGCTGCAAGCGGGGGGCGAGCCTGGTCAGCACTGCTCAACGTTCACAGAATCGCGCTGTTAGCAAGCGCGAGAGCGCAATAGGAAGCCGCCACTGAACAGGCGGGAAAGGTGCTTTTATAATCATGGTGAAGTTCCAGCATAAGGTTGGCAGGTCGTTTACGCACGAGTAGGTCTCTCGTGCTGATTCATTTGCATTATGTAACGAGGCTGAAAGCCCCTTTCCATTCACATCGTCTCCAAAATAGCTGTGCTGTGCATGTATGGACAGCTGGCACGTTCTTGAATGGACCAGAATAAAATGCCTTTTATCTACCTAACCGTTCATGGAGGTTACAAATACTTTTCTGGCTAACAGCACACATGAGTTTACAGATACAAGGGAAAGGAGAAAGGGTAAGTAAATAATAACCAGCATTATGGCAGGAACAATGGGAAGCGCACTGTAAGCTGAATTGAACCTTCAAAGAACTGGAAAAGCATCAGAGACACCTTAATGATGCATTCTTTATGTCTCAGAGCTTCGCTCATGGCACTGGAAATTTGTTCAGGGCTTGTACAGGCCCAGGCAGTGCCTCGGTCCCCTGAGCCTTGTGGATGGACTGTCATGGGGTGGGTGTCTCACACACTGCATGTTATTAGTATTAGGCCTTGCCACAAACACCTTTGATCTTCAGCTGTAGGGGGGTCCTTAGGACGGTTTGGGGCTCAGCCGATGCAGTCTCCACCCATGTTCGTCGGAGTGTGTCAGCTTCAGAGTTTGCAAAGACCCCAAGGAGAGTTTATGACAGGATCTCATTCTTTAGAAAGTTTTTGTCAAGTTATGCTCTTGCTTAGCACCCACAGGCAGGGGGCTGATGACAACCCTACTTCTTGTCCACTCTACCCTGACAGCAAGGAGGCAGCTCTCCTTCAAGCAATCACTTCTTTCAGTCCAGCACTCCCAAGAGGGGCAATGGGTGTCATCTTTTTTACAACACCTGTCACCAGATGAGCTCAGTGTCTTCTCACATATTTCTCTCCCCAGTTGGACATGCTTTGCCTGAAGAGGAGCCAGAACTGTGTCCAGCTCAGTCAGCTAATCCCCTCCCATGGAAAGATTCAGGTAAGATGATCTCATGAAGACCTGCCTGGGATGCTATAATTAACTCTGACCTCATCACTCGATGGTTTGTACATCTATCAGAGGTGTGTATGTGATGGTGTGCAGCCACACTTGTGCTGGCAAATTCTGTCTGGACTTTGTGTTTTCCAAACAACCTCTGAAGACAACACAGTCTCTAATGTGATTTAGGACATATTTCAGTTTGGGTCTACAACATGAGATCTGAGATTTTAGAGGAACAATTTCAAAGGTTTTCAGCAAATACAATGGTTTATTTATTATTATTTATTCTTAAAGTATTAGAAATACTATTAAAATACAATACCAGAAAGTAATACAAATGAATTGGAAAAATACTGCTAACTATAGGTATGTATTTTGGGGTTCATTTTGATCAAATGCAGTATTCACAATGCAGCCATAATCTTGCTCATGTACTCTGTCATCCAATACAACCCTGAAGTGTTTCAAAGAATCACCCCTTGATTTCACAGCTATATCCATCTTTCTCTTCCTTCTGTACAATGGAAGAAAAAAAGAACAACCATTTTACATTTCTATTCTTATCTATAGTGAGAGGTCAAACAATTGTGTGAGGATAAATGAAGTCAGATTTTGGCGAAGCTCATTTTGTGATAGTGATGCCTATGCCCTGTGTAAAGGAAATGACATATGTTCATTTCTGTAGAAAAAGCTAAGTTTTTGCTCATATTCCTCAAATGAGAGCCTGAATACTGTGGTTCCTTTCTGGCCCTGCAGGCAGGGAGTTTTGAGGTTTACAGGTGCTAAAAGGGGTGTATGTGTCCTGACTCTGCTGAACACAGCAAAGCTGGGAAAAGCCTTACCTGTACAGGTACACTGCAGAGGAGATGAGAATGACAATAACAACTACGCCTGCCAAAACTCCAACAAGAATGGCAATTGTATGGTCCTCAGCATCGTCTATGGAAGAGTCTGCAGCTGAAGAAGAAATGAGAGCCCTGTCAGCAAAAGCTAACCATACTGCGAACAGGAGTTTTTTCTCAACCCTTGCCTGTCTGCTTGGTTTATACTGTGTTCTCTGATATATGTAGCTTTCTGGGGTGGTGTCCTGTATGCTCTACAGAGCCCTGCTGTCATGCCTTCTAGCACCTCTCCACTGGGGGTTCTGTCCCTTTCTGCTTGGATGACCCACTCTCACCCACTGGATTACTAATTTACAGCATGGAAATGAAGAGCAAGCTCAGTCTTCTCCATAATGACGCCCATTTTTGAAAGTGGTGTAATGCAGACAGTGAAATCCAAAATAGTTTTATTACCTATCTTTTCAACCTCGCAGCTTGGTCCTGTGTACAGTTCTGAACATTCACAGTAGAAGTGGAGAGAGGTGCTGTTAGTAGTTTCAGAGCAAACTCCATCATTCTTACAAGGATTTGGCATACATGGTCCACCTAGCAAAAAGGAAGAAAAGACACTTCAGACTCTCAAATAATCCAACCCTGAGAGAACTGCTCTTGCTTAGATGACACTGACTCCTAATGCTGGATAACCCCTGTATTTTAAGGCACATTACTTGTACTTGACAACAGGAATAAGGGAAAGAAGCACTGTTTCTGTGATGAAACATCAGAGTAAGACCCCTGGTATGCTCTTCTTCTGTAGACACTCTGTTGCAACTATCTCCAACCCAGTGATGTCCTATAAGCAGTAAGTCAAGACTTAGCGTCAAAGACAATCTGATAATGATTGACTCACTCCTGTAGCATCCACGACTGTAGTTTGAAATGCCACAGATTTCATCAGACCCACACACGATATTAGAGCAGGAGACAGTGGAGCTCTCTGTGCACTGGCATCTCTGAGAGCAGTCATCAGTGGTGAATATCTCTCCAATCTGGAAGGCAGCAGTTAAATGTTAAAAATATCAAACAAAATCAGCCGGAAAAAACATGAACGGAGCACTGGGGACCCATGCTATTCTCTCTAATGCCTTCCTGATGAATGGGAACATGGTAGATTAGATTAGATTTTTTTTTCATATAGTTTGTACAGAAAAGAAAGCAAGCAGTTTACTAATCCAGCTCTTTGAAACTCAAGGATGGCCCAAGAAAGAAGGCAAAAGAAGAGTTTGGGGTATGAGATCCTAGCCCCAGGTGGGGTACATGTGCAACCAACAATGTGTAACTGTTCGTGGAGATAAGAGAGGGTGGCAGACGCATCACATCATGCCTCCAAGGCAATGTGGAAATGCTATGTGCCATTTTTCTGGCAAGTGCCACCTGTTCATAGTAAGTGTCCCCCTCCTTCCATAAAATAGTCTTTACTGGCTTAGGTCTTCTCTGTACCAAATCTCTAGACTTAAAACAAAATTCTATGAGATTATGAAGCTGTTCTATCCTGCAGTGAAAATAGAGGATTCTCCATATTCCTCAGAATCCACTCTTGCTTGGGGCTCTCCATGTCATAGCCAACTCTACAGACTCTCAACCCTACCTGTACCACTCTGTACTGAAAGAAGAGGGACCACAGTGACTGGCAGAATTTCTTTGTAACTAAACTAACTGGTGTGTTGTAAACTTTAGAGCCTATGAGGCTATTGTTTAGCGTAATACAAATGAAGAATTAACATGGAGGTCAGAGTGTAATCATATACTTTCTCCAAGTGCCTGCCTTGAATATTCTGGCAGGCAGAGTTTCAGAGGCAGATCCACTCTCTTCCATTCCCCCAGAGATCAGAATTTTATTAAACAATTGCTCTTTGTTTCTAATGCAAAATTACATGCTGAGGAGAATGAAGAGATTGTCAAAATAATTAGCAGAAGAAAATACTTGGTGCCATGGGAGCTGTCTGGCCTACAGGGAGACTGTACCTCGTAATATTTGTTAAGGTATGTGCAGCCACACTGTTTGTAAGGCACACAGTCAAAACCACTGAGAACATAGCCGGGGAGACATTCACAGCCTTCAACACAAGGTGATTCGCACTTAGAGGGGCTGGTCAAGTCATTACAGGATGCTGGGCATGCAGACATGCATGAACTGTAGTTGCTGTTGGCAGGACATGATATACCTGTAAAAATAAGGAGAGTCAGGTTGTAGCAGGCTGCTGTGCATTACTTACGCAACGCCCTTTGAGATCCAGAGAACGTTACCATTTTGTAGGAGGCAATGTGATGAACACACATACGCAGAGATGTGCATAGATATATAATAGTACTGTAGTTGTAAGTAAAGCACTCTAAAGTCAGGAAATGCATTATGAAAACTATTTGTATGCTGTGCTGTCATTCCTGGTGTTAACTCATCTCAACTTCTCATACATTCAGGGTACCCATTCCTGCAAGTAGCAGAGCTGTTTCACAACTCTGGGAATTGTGTTTCACCAGGGATACAAAGTCATCTAACCAGGGGTGACGCAGGGGAAGTATGGTTTGATGAATCTCCCAACTTGAAAAAAAAAATTAGGAAAAAAATGTTTGAGATTATTAGAAATTTTATTTCAGCATTTTTTAGTCTGAAAGATTTGGAGTTTTCAGCTGAATCTTTTTGTCTTGAAATTTCACAGGCAAAAGAGAATTAGTATATTTTGTAAATTTAAAAGGAGATTGAAATAAAGTGTTTTTCCTTCAGATTTGTGGCTTGTGATGGTCTCCAAAATTTTAACTTTTTTGCCCAGTTGGGAATGGGGACATTTTTTTCTCTCACAAAATTGATCACAAGGGAGCTGACAACTCTGCTTTCCTAAGTAGGATATTCTAAGCTGGGGTCTAAATGTGAAAGTCAGCATAAGACACAGAAGAGAGGCCAGAAAAGCAAGTGTGCATGCTAAACTATGAACAGTGATTGAAGCATGAATCAACACGCTTTTATTCCCTGAGAAGCTTTGATATATGGTGCATCTAGGAAAAGCCTCAAATCTCTGATTTTGAGAGTCCTTTAGGCAGAAACCATACTTCTGGATCTTCCTGTGCTTACCACAAACTGTCTGTTGCCTCCAGCCTTCCATACTGACTCCTTGCTGCTGACAAGCCAGCATGTATTCCTCCAGACTGCGACATAAGGTAGCATCCTCATCTCCTTCTACACACATATCAAACAGGCAGCTCCTATGTGCAACAGGAGAAAGCGTTCATTCCCAATACCTTTGTTATTGTTTATTTTCAGCTGCTTTTCTGCCAGACTCTTAGTTCTGTTTTCCTGTATCTGGCTGGCAGAAAAACAGAGGAATAAAAAGAAAAACCAGCCACATGATTGGGAAGATCAGGACATTTTTGGACTAGATGACCTTTAAAGGTCCCTTCCAACTCAAAGATTCTATGATTCTATGATTTGTTGTGCAGCTGCTGTTAACATGTGAGGTATTCATATATGAACAAGCAATAAACAGGTACCTGACTGCTTGTGACAGTAGGTTATTCTTTTCTATCTCCTGTTTTCAGCTAGCATGGCTTCATCTTGCTTTTAGAGCACTTTTTAGTGCTGGTAAGTCTCATAGCTGGACTACACACTTCTTTCAATACATGGGTGCCCTCTCCATGTCCATATGCCTTGAATATTGACACAGAATTCTCTTCTACCCAATGTTTGTTTGCCAGTGCTACCTTCTCAACTTTGCTCATCATCTGAATATCCATGGCCTGATTTTCAGAGGCATTGAGATTGGAGATGAATGGGATCTGCAAGTATGTAGCACCTCAAAAAAATCGGGCAACCACTAAGAAGGTAGAACAGGCTGCCTAACCAAATTCTAGGTGAGGAGAAAAGTAGGCTTATGTTAAGAATCAGGATATATACATTGAAGCCAGTGGTCCAGTTTATTTGGCTTAACATTCCTTCACGTTCTTGTCACAGCTAAGAGGGACTTTGAGGTGGACATTATCTATCTTTAAACATTAGGTACAACTATATGACTAAAGAAAACTGGCATCTGCTTGGCAATTTTGTGGCTGATGATGGATGAATGATGAACGTGGGGATGAATCAACAGGTCTCATACAGCTCAAAATTAGGTGTGTAGGAACTGAGTATGTAGGAGGCCAGAGAAGCCTTGAAACACAGCAGAGTGAACTTTCTTGAAGATACCACGTTAGTTGCTCTTCACTAATCTGTTTTTTTCGCTTCTCCATGAAAGATTCAAGAAGTGTCACTGAGAGCTTCAGCCTTTGTCACTATAGCATGAAGGCTAGATTTTATGAAGCTAGAATTGCTAAATAATAGAGCCAGGCACTAAATTCTCACTGAATGTGGATGAGAACTGTAAGCACACTACAAACCCCAGCCTACAGGTATAATGCTTAACACTGCTGCTTCACCTGTGTAAGAAAAGAAGAAAGCTACTTTCTAGAGCTAACAGAAAAGTAAAACTCTAAATAGATGGAAAGACAGATCATCACAATTATTTAAAAATAAATAAGGGGATTTAAATCTATCAATAATGGAATCACTGGGCCCAGTTTTCCAAAGACACTTATTATCCTCAATTCCTATTACCCTGGAGACTGAAGATGCAACGTTCTTGTCAGAAATTCGTGCCAAAATGATTTTGCAAATGGGGAGAACATCTGTCTGCACTTACGTGAAATAGAAATCTGGTGAGATGATAGAATGACACGTTACAAAAGGACCATTCAAGTCAATCAGGATTTGACATCTCGAAGTTCTGTTTTCTTGCCCCAGCTGATTTTCATTGCAGCCTTGGAAGAGCCCTGGATCTGGTTCATCCTTAGACTCATCTTTTGAGTTGACATCTCGGCTGTAAATGAAGTCATTATGAAACCATCAGTTCTCTGTACATCCAGCATTCATGGTACTACTCTCTAAGTAACACCACAAGAGTACTTCTGCCTTGTGGTGTGAGTATAAGCTTATTGCTCTCTCACGATTTATCCTGAATGGGAAGAAGATAGATAAAGCAAATCAAAGATGTACTAGAACACTTCCTACCGTCTCAGTGATTTATGGGTGTTTAAATCAAAAGGGATATCTGTAATTATCTCTTTGGAAATTCTGCATGACACAGGCTTCATCCAATGCCTCTTTCATCCAATCTATTCAATAACATTAGTCAGAGTGATGCAGCTGGAATAGACCACTATTTCTTGGACATATGCTTACTTTCACTGAACAACTGGCTGCATGCCTGAAGTGCCAGAATTCTCCTGTAGACATAGCCTCCAGAGCCCCTTTATGCTCAGCACGAGCCTACATACTGCTTTCTACTATTCTGGCCGACAAGTTTTTGCAGCCAAATTATATCCTGACAGTTAATACAATTCCATTTACTTGCTGAAAAAAGTCCTGTGCTAGTGGCTAAGCAACCTCCAAAGGTCTTTCAAAGCAAATTGAGAAGGAAGGGAGGGAGGGAGGGAGGAAGGAAATGAATGAACAAACCTTTTCCCTACCTATTTCCATGTTCTGTATGGACTAATTAGCACAGAATTTGCCTGACCACAAATGTCATGCTCATTTATACTCAAAAGAATGTCCTTCATTTTTGTGTACTGGCAGAAAACACTAGATAGCCATGAAAGTAAAGAAATCAGACTCTTCAATTCTGGGAGGAATTGTGAATTCATCTTAATGGATTTCAAAGCTGCCTTCATGTTCCAGAGGGAGGGATGACACTGAATCAGGATTTGCCCTCCCTCAGGCCCATCCAGCGCAACATGATATATTTATCTTTGCCGGGAACCATGAATTTGGCAAAGATCTTATTCATGCCTGTGCCCTAGCAGTTGTAATGGCTGTGACTCCAAAGAGGGATACTAAACTAGGGTAATACAGTGATAGTTCAGGCGTCTTCTGGCTAGATAGAAGGGCACTGATAATTCACCTTAGTGATGAGCAGGAAAAATCCCTACATACAGACCAAGGGAAGAAGAAAGACCAGAAATGAGATAGTGTAGTCATTCCTGGATATTAACTATGGCTTAATTCACTCACTTCCAGTGGCAGTGGTTGCCATGGATGTTAAGTAGAAAATTAAGTACCTGAGAGGAGAGGTTGTTCTTTTCAGAGGAACTTTCCAGCTCTCACCAAATACATTCACATTCTTCACCCAAACACCATCTGGTTTTGTGAAGTCATTTCTATATTTCCCATCAAAGTCACCACACAAGCCTTCCACTCTGTTTCTGTAGGTATTGGCCAGCTTTATATCTAGGGAAGTTCAGAAGAAAAAAAAGTCATTACACAGAAATCCTTGCTTCAGAGTGTATGGAAGAGGTGGAAAGCAGTGCCAAGTACCACATTTCATGATTCAGATTGGAGCTGGTAATGTGTCATGGTCCTCATATGTAGGATATTAACACAGCCCTGAGCATACATGTTCATACATGTATTCACAGGACTGTTTCTGTGCTCTGCAACATGAATCATGAAAAAAGTAATTTCTTGCAGCCAATAAGGTATCATAGAACATGACATCACCAGCTGAGTGCTCTTAGTGCATGCTGCTTACTACTTTGCAGCAAACTGAATGCACCACCCACCTTTTGGCCTTCACTTACAATCTACTTGCTTGTTGAGAAACAGAATTCTTATAAAACAGACCTTTCTGCAGTTGGAATTTTAGGGTTTGGAATGATGGTCATGTGTATAAATGGACTGGCACTTTCACCATACACTCAGAAATAACATGGCTATATTCTGTTGTAAATCAGGAGTAACACTGCTTTGAACAGAAGAGGTAATGTGTGTTCAACTTACATGAGTGAGTTGTGTATGTGATATAAGAATCCTGCTGTATTTAGAAATACTAAAGAATAGGACTATCTGGAACAAGCTTGAGAAGAAGCGTGTAAAAGGATGCACCAGTCCTATGACTGGGTTAAGCTGGCAAAGGGGCAGATCCAGACTTCACCCCATCATCCTCATCAGCAATTTTAAGTGATATGCTTTCGTTTTTATCAACCAGGCCTTACGTAACATGAAAAAAAGTAGATGTAGATGACTCTACATCTCATTTCTTCTAAGTTCAGGTGGATCCAGGTAAAGAAATGGCAGTTCTATGTTTTTTTCTGGTTCCTGGGAAACACTTTTGTTTTGATTTTCTGGAAGTTCATATCACAAAGGGTCATAGGCTCAAAGGGCGAAGGTTTCTAATTTTGCCTTGGGTTTAGACCTCCTTTGGAATGAGAACATTTTTTGAGACAGTGCATAAATATTCCTGCACATTGTCTTAGTATTGCTTACCTGCATTTTGATTGCCATCAAAGCTCAGGTATAAGCCAAAATCTGTCTCCAGGTAAATTCTTGTTGTCCTCTGATATATATGAATACCTTCATGAGGACGAGCAGGGGGTCTCACCCTCACACCATCCAACTAACAGGGAAAGAATAAGTTAAAATTCATAATGTATAGGCCAAATTAAAATCAGACTTCAGTACAAATCAATGCTACAAATGAACACTCCTCTTGTCTTGTTTTATGATAAATATATCAGATAATTTAACCAGGTAAAAAACTCAGTATTCCATTTTTTAAAGTTAACAAAATCCCATATTGAGGAAAGTGATATGGACACAGTATTTTCATATTATTCTAAGAGATTTCTATTATTGAGCTAAAAATGTATATATGAGCTATGTATACTCTTATGCACCAATAAAGGGGAGGGAAATGAAGTTTTCCTAGCATAATTCACTATTTGCTTTTTCCTACCACTGATAAAAATTTGTATGGCTTTATTGTAAGCTTGGGATATTTGGTGTTTTATTCCTAAACCTCTATTTATTAATTTGTTTGAAGTAGAATTATATCCTTCATAGCTATAGAGAAAAAAGACTCGACACAACTGAAAATCATGTTCGTGGTTGCCTCATAGCACTGCTCTAATAATACAGTTAGTTAGCTTTAATACTTAAATTCTTCAAAACAGACATTTATTACTCAAAGGTGTTTTACTCCAAGGGAGGGCCTCTCTCTGTGCTCTGCAGTCAGCAAGAGACTTACCACAAGCTGCTTGTGCTGTCTGAGTCGCACTGTGTGATTGTAAACATTGACGAGAATCTCTTTCAGGTAAGTAATGCGTCGACCTCGATAAACAGGGTAGTTTGTGCCTTCAATGCTGAACTGCGTCAGAGTATCAGGTAGGTCAGGGATGGTCTGAGCCAGGATATACGTGTATTTCCCTTGAAAATGGTGCACCAGACCATCGAAGGTGTTGTAGTGTGGGTCACCCATGATCCGACAGTTCCCAAAACCTAAAGGGGAAGAGCTTCATTACTTTCCAATCTGAATGTGCATGTGTGAGATCCCATGCATGGATCAGTTTAAAATAAATTAGGTAAAAATGATTGCTGCTAGCATGCAAGTTTCTCAAAGTAAAGATGGGTGCTCAGGCATCACTCTAGTGAATGGGCACTCAGATGGAAAGACGGCCAGAGAAACTTATTCCTCTGCTGAGAACTGGTGTGAGCCAACCGAACTGAAGCAGAACATTAGGGTTTATAGAGACTAAGTTGTGCACATTGGTCCTCTGCAGAGGAATGACTCTGTCACACAGCATGGCTTGCAGTGGGCTCTTAGAGATGATGGTTTCATAATCCTCAGCAATGTGTTGCTACAAAATTATTGGAACATGAAAAGCAATGTCTAATTTCGGCTGGCTCACTGCTGTCACGCTGATTTCTTCTGAGGTTACTAAATTGATCATTGGGGTCAGCCGACCTAACAATCAGATGCAGCGACTACCATCTAAGTATTCTCCTTGACCATTGAGTGCAGAGCAAACCATTATCCCAGGAGCAAGGCTCTCTTTAAGACTGCTGAGGTGCGTCTGCTCTGGTATTTTGCCAAAATGGAGCAGGGGGAAGCTGGATTTGCATTATGCTGTTGTACTGATCATCAATAGAGTAGGATCTATGCCATACTAGTCTTCAAAATTGAAGTGTAGAGTCACTAGGCAACAAGCTATCTCCTAAACAATCCAATTTACCTAGAGAATATGGGATTAACTTTGCTTAGCCAAAGGAACTACTGAATAAAAAGGACTGAAGTTGTCTGACTGGCATACTATGTATCTGTTCAGATATGTTCTATCCTGTTTTGCCTTTATTTTTTTCTGTTCTCAAATCAACACACAATGGGAAAAACAGGATCATTGCCAAAGGACTCACAGACATATCTGAGTTTTGGTTTTGGTAGATGCAGTGCAAATATTTTTTCTTTTTTTTAATTTAAACTAAGCAGACTGAACTGTCAAATTTCTAGATGTAAGTAAATTTTCAAACTCTTGGTCCACTTCCCTCTACAAATTCTGTCTCATACTGGAACTTTCTGTTCTGAGAACTGAGGCCTTTTTGTGTTCAATAATGTGTCGTCAATAGCACTGTCAGAGCTGCCTTCTTTCCCTGTGGAAAAGACTGGAAGTGCCATGGAAGAAAGAATGGACATCCGCATCCTTTCTCCTTCTCCAGCCCTCCTGGAACACCAAGTGAAGACCTGCCTGCACATACCTGTTGGATTGCACTTGTATTTTCCAGTTTTGATCACGCAGGTTTCTTTAGAATCACAGCTATAGCTCTTACAGTTGATGACACCGTTCTTCTGACACTGGCATCTTTTGGTGCAGTGTGGAGTTACCCAAGTCTCCCCAGCCTGGACACAAGTTGTGTTAATAATATGTTATCAAGATGCTCAGCTTTGCAATCCAATAAAAGTTCAATAGGAAAGGGTGTGGGTGCGGGCTAGGTGCAATCTGTCCAGTTGGCGATTCCACAACTGCTCAATCCAGATGTAGTCTCACCAGAAGCCTGGGAGGGGGGATCCCAGTCCATTTATCTTATTGTCTTCGACACGAGAATATGAACACAAAACAGGACTAGGACAGACTGCCTGAAATACTCTGATCAATTGACTAGTTTTGAATATGCCTCAATTTTGGCCTCAGGTGTGAAGTACCAGTCATCTCCTGCATCTCCTAATACCCGAGCCTGCAGCTTTTACTAATCAGATGAAAGGCATTTAAGAGGTAGACCCTGAAGATTTTTCTCTCTCTCTCATTTAGATGGAGACCAACTTTCTACAAGTTTTGCAGCCAGAGATTGCTCCATAGACAAACTACTTACACTGTAGTAATTGTTGTCATCATCCCTGCAGCCACAATTGCTCAGAGGTACACACTTGCCATTACTGAGCAAATAGTTATTATCACACTCACAGCCCTCTGTGCACTCTTCTGTCTTCTCACAAAGGGAAGAGGCAAAAATGTCATTGCATGTTGATGGGCAGGCGGAGACACAGTCCGTGTAATGGCTGTGGGGAGGGCAGGGCAATGCTGTGTGGGTGGAGAGAATAGAACCAGCATTATTAAATACATTTAGAAAGTGCACCGCAAACACATGTGCCTGCCTGAAAGCTACAACTTGGCCTATAAAATGCTAGTATTGAATTGGCTTTTAATAGCTGATTTTGATCATGAACCAGTTTTGATTTTTTATATTTTATTTAAAAAAACAACAAAAACAAAACAGAGAACCCTCTCTGGAGCTGCTGATTCAGTTCTATTACAGGTATGCCTGAACTGGTGGCACCTGGTGCTAGATCATTCAGATTTAGTGTTCCAGTTCAGCTGCAAATGCCTCTTTGGACATGGCTAGAAATTAGAATCTTTAGGGCAAATTCCTTAGAACGTTCAACCCTCTAGTGATGCAAAACAGGTGTATATCTAGCTTAACCACAGACATAAACACATGGAAGAACAACAGATATGCATTGTCAGACTGAAGATTCATCTATCTCTGTGCCCTATTTCTGCCCATTACTAGAGATGCATGAGGCAACAGTTCAAGAAATAGGGTAGCAGGAAAAAGTGTTCGTTTGCCCAGTATTTTCCTCCACTTGTGGCAAGGAGGCAATTAGGAATTTCTGATGGATCTATTCAACATCTGTCTGGCTCGGTTTTTAACCAGTTAATTGTTTTGTCCTCCACAACATTGTGTGAATTAATTCCACAATGTAATACTAAAGTGTGAAAAAACAACAAAAAGAAACCACTGTGTAATTTTTACTCATTTTTACAAAATTTTTTTGTGGCTTTGTTGAATGGGTGGACTGTGGCACATACACTGGAGGTTAATCTGAGAACATGGCCCTTAATAAGCAACCGGCCAAATTGCCAGTTTTCATTCAAAACACAGTGAGTGGCATTGAACCCTGTGTCCTAACACAGTATTCCACTTTGTTTTAGTCTTCTGGTTGTATTATTTCTCCACTTTAGGCTTATTGTAATATCTCATGGCACTCATTTGACGATCAAAGCCATTCTAACTCCACATTACTATCCATAACTTGTCTAGACCTGAGTTTAGCTCAACCTGAACACAGTTCAGTGCAACAATGGAGTCATAAAATCATAATAATAGAATTTCATTTTGTGAGAATTTGAGTTTAATTTTCTTTTACATAACTTGTTCACCTAATACTTCTAATTTGTTTTCATGCTATCAGCCATCCAAGTTTCATTTTTTTCACTTGTTTGTGCACTTACGACAGAATGTGCTATTCCTCCAATTAATAGTGATTCCATGATTCCTGCAGGTGTCCACATAGACTTGAACTATGTCGCAGAGAGCGGATTTCATGCCATTATACTGGCACATGTCATAGATGCAGATCTGTATGAAGTCTTCAGGCTTGACTAGATTATGACAGGCTTTGAATTTGTCCGATTTTAGGACATTGCACTGGCTTTCAATGACTGGTTTATTCTCAGCAGTGCAAGGAGGAACATCATCTTCTCTTAAGTCTGATAAACAACTGCATGAAAACACAAACACAGCTGCATTTAAGTTTCAGAGGCATATATATGATGGAGACTGAAACTGAAAAGTTTGTTTCTACTGAAAGGTATTAAGCAACGCTAGAGACTACAGTCTTCTTTCTGTCTGAGAATTAGACCTGCCTGGCAATCACCATGCTGTCTGATCCTTGTTACTCTCACGGAACTTGACCCTGACTAAACTTCTCAGCTTGACCTCGGACCTGTCTCGTCACTGCAAACTTCTGGACTCTTGGCTGACACTGGCTTCCACTCTTGGGCCTGTGCTGCTTGCCTTGCTCAGGTAGTGTGGGATGGGCCCTGGCTGGTGAGGCCACTGTTCTCTCAGCTGCGTTATCACACTTGGCTCCCTGTCCCTTAGGGAGCAGCTGGTCCTCACTGTTCCCCAACACCATTGTCCTGCTCTAGGTGTTTTCAGTGTAAAATAAACAGAGGCTATGCCACACTATGGACTGCCCCAAAAAGTAATTGCCCAAGTATGTATGTAGATCAATAGAAAGGCTGTGGTTTCCCTCTGGCCCCGTGCAGTTGTTTCCTGTGGTGATGGCTTTTTTTTGAACTTCAAATTCAAGAAGAGAAAAGTCTGGTATACACTGCTTATATGTTACAAAGTAGAAAACAGTCAAAACAATTGAAAGGAGACTGTTTCCCAAAGGAAGGTGGAAGGTATGAAAAGAAGTTACATTTACCCTTCATCACTGTCTTCCTCCACTTTCCAGCTATTTCCAAACTGGGTGACACTAACGAGTGTACCATTGGGCAAGGACAGATCATCTTCACGATTATCATTGAAGTTACCACACATGCCATGTACCTGCAAATGAACAAGAACCATATTATAAGCACAATCTGCTCTACATCAGCTTCCCCCACAAGATGTGACCAAATCATAACAACAACCAATCTTGTACCAGACATTTCAGACATACTCAGTAGTGTCTGACTGCATCCACGGAGAAATAAAATAGAAACTGCAGTAAATCTGTGGTTCCCTAAGGCTTCAAGGCATTTAATTCTATAAGCTGGATGTATTCCCCTAGCCAGGTAATTTTCTCTAACTGCCCCCTTGGAACACAAGGAAATTGTTGGGAAGAGAAAAAAATAAAAAGGAAAAAAATGACATGTGTTACAATACAGCTACAAAGAAAGATGCAATAGCAAAACACAGGAATAAACAAAATTAAAAGTACATGCACAAAGCAGCAGTTTTGAAACCGTGCCAGATGTTTACATACTAAATCTTACCTTTGAGAAATAAGACTGTGGGAGGGTAATTTCCAGATGGTGATTGCCATCATATTTCACTATCACACCAAAGTCAGTTTCCACTACTATGAATCTGCCAACATTTCCAATGGACACGCCTTGCAACCGGTTCTCCACTGGAGTGTAGACTCTCTCATTGTTCAACTGGAGAGACACGTCATTTGTCAGTATGGACATTCTTCCATGAAAGTTTTTCTGCTTGCAATCTATATTCTTTGCAGTGCTGAAGATTTCTCTATGACAGTTTTATCTCCTTTACAATTCCACCATTGCATATTACATGGATTGCAGGAATCAGCCTTTTAGCTGAGGAGAGCTGGGCAGGATTCATAGCCTGTGCCTTTAACAGGGAGCTGGAAAGATCCCCAGCAGTGAGCAAGCTCTTACTCACCCATAGGGTGTATTCCCCACTTCTGGTATGGCCATGAATCCCCATGCTGTTCTAGACCAATAGAGTATGACTTGCTTTTCCTCTGCTCTTGTTAACTAGCTACAGGTGATTGGGTTGACAACAGCTATTGAAGTGGGGAGCCCCATTCCTTAGTTCAGGCAACAATTCTCTGATCTGGAGGCTCTGGGCTCCATCTCCAAGATATGGCCAATTGAACAGTAAACCGAAACCAGAAGCCTTGGGAACTAGAATAATATTCCCCTGTGAGATCCAGTTAATGGAGGTGCCTACAAGTATTAAGCATATGTGTATATATTCCTTACGAAACATGAAGATCCTTTTTCCTACAACCACTGTAGTGAGTGAATTTTAAACCACTTCTCTCCAGAATAAAGAGCACCACCACCTACCAGGATTCCTTGGCCTTTCTGAAGGGTGATTCGTACACCATACACATCTATGTAGACTTCTTTCAGGTATGTGGCCCCTCTTAGTCCTCTGTCTTCATTCTTGCCAAGGATAGTTATAGGAATGACACTGTTGGTGTTGACAACCTCAACCAAGGTGTAGGTGCAGGTACCCACAAAAGTGTACACCATTCCATCAAAAGTGAAATAATGGGGATCTCCTGCCACTTGACATGTTGCTTGGCCTGAAAGTGGAAAAATGATCTAAGAACTTTGGGCTGGATTTCACGATGGACTCAGCTGACCACAGATGTTTGCATTAGTGCAGCAACCTAATCCTGATCGTTATTATGTGGACAAACCGTCACAGTGGTATCTCAGGTTCATGGCAATGACATTTATTTGGAAATAAGAAATTTCCAGAAAGTGTCTCCTAAATTTAATTTGCACATTATGTACAAACTGGCAACTTGGCAGCAAATGAACCTCTTTTTACATTTCTACATGCTGTTGTAGCTATGATTTATGGTAGTTGAGAGTAATACAGAGCTATTCTACTTAGCTATATAAAAATACATAACTATATATATAAATACAAGTGTAAATATAAAAGTAAATAAATTTTCATCTATATACATAGATACTTAATGCACTTGCCATCACCCAGACTTTCAGAAATGCAGTTCTCAATTTTTCCCAAATTTAGAGCTTGCAGCATTGGTGATGTGGGACTTGAATTTGTATTATCAAGATGAAAGTAACCCAAGTGACCTTGCAAGCTTTTGGGTAGCATCAGTTTTTGCTGATATCCACTACAACAGAAAGGGATCTGTGCTTGCAAGACAGATCATCATGTCTTTTAATCTCTTAGCACTGGCAGCAGTCAGTTTGGACTTCTTTGCCATCACATATGAAAAGTTATTTATAATAAAGCTAGAAGGAGAAGAAAGACCTAATTATGGAATTGACATTGAGAACCATTTTCAGGCAGGAGTTACCAGTGGAATGACAGCCCAGCACACCATCCTGAATACTGCATTCCTCTCGGACTCCACACTCCCAGGAAGTGCATGCAATGGTGTTATTAGCCTTGCAGGTGCAGCGTTCAGTGCAGGGATAACCGGTAAACCAGCTTTCATCCAGCTGAGCGGGAAAAAGAGTGTAGAAGTATATACTATAAGATAAATTGGAAGGTAATACCATAAGGTACAATCAAATTACTAGTATTTGAATGTGCATGACATATGATAATTTGGGCAACTGTAGCCACACAGCTCATGGATCAAGAAGGCTGGCAAAGTGAGTCTATTTTGTTATTATTAATGGTGTAAATAATAATTGTGTTAATGTTATTAAGATTTTTTTCTCTCATGGTGATAAAGAATGAGATCCCCTGTTTGTTCTTTTTTTTTCTCTAAATGTCTGAGGTAACTTGCCTGGTGATACTGTTTCTTTTCATCAACACAACCACAGCTGCTTTCCGGCACACATTTGTCTCCACTCAAAACATAGTCTTGCTTACAGAAGCAACCTTCCACTGGTAAGGAACTGCAAGAATCAGCTGCTGAGATGTTCAAACAGGTAGACGGACACCTAGTACCACAGCTTTTGTAGATGCTGCCTCCAGGACAGGACATCGCTAGGGAGAAAAAGGAAAAAATAAGATCACTCAAAAGGGCAGAATCATGATAAAAGTTTCCCTGATGTTTTCTTTTGCTGCTTGCTCCTGAATATATACAATTGCTGTTAGAGAGTCTGACGGTGGACAGTTCTGCATACAAAGGACTTTCTTTCCCTGTGAGATGGGTGGCTTTTGGTAGAGGTGGGTAAGACAGGTGGGCCATCCTGCACTCCAGCTCGCAAAGGAAGTCAAATGTTGTAGGCTTACTTTGAGGGTAGGTCTGATGTGATCATACAGGGCTAATTGTGCTTGCTTGGTTCAGTAAACCTTTTCCTGCAGGTTTAAAGACATAAAGTCACTCCAGTAAGGGAATAGAAGAATCTCTTCATGTACCAGCTTATGTGATCCCATTAATGTAGTTACTATTTGAACACCTGCCATATATTTAAAAATAGAACTAAAAATCAGACTCTGTTTTTCACTGAGACCCCTTGAGGAAAATATATTATACTGTCACACCCCTCCTGCTCATGGCAGAATTAGGTTTCTATCACTCAAAGTGTGCTCTCCAGGGAAGACATTACATTTTACAGAAATCCTGAAGCATTTGTCCATTTCTGCCATCTAAACCCCTAAATACTATTTCTCGCTAGATTCTGTGATAAATCACTACATACAACTCTCATTTACTCTGTCCCTACAGCAGGATCTCTTAGTCCTGTCAGGCAACTACAGACAACATCCCCAGTCATCCAGCCAGACTACCTGCCCTTTGTCAGGTTCTTAATTGAGTTTTTATTTGAATTACTGATGGAGGGAGCACTTGAGAGTCAATCCTCTTAATGTGACTGAGTCTTCTCTATCAATATAATCAAGCCACAGGTATTTAAGTCCTGGACTATGGCCTCAAACTATGGAGTCTGGAAGTCCATAGCTTTAATCTGATTTGGAGGGTTAGAAGCTCGTTTCTTATTCTGTCTTCTTTTAATATAAGAATTCTCTGTGCTCTGTCCTCCCAGGGCTGACTTACTTGGTCCTTTAAAGCCATTCTAAAGTCACAGTAATTCTTTTTCAAAACTGAGCAGCTCCCAGAATCTCTCAATGTTTTTTTTATGGTTTAGTTTCAATGCAGACCTAATTGTTGATCACATTAAAAAAAAAAAAAAAAGGTGCAAATCTGCAGAAGGTAATACAGTGGTAACTGCTATAATCAAAATTAGTGTAAAAGAGAAAAAAACATAGAGGAGAATTATGATTTATTTCACTGTGGTTGACCTTTAGAGTATTTCTTTTTTTCTCCAGGTGTGTACTTTGTGGATATATAGGCCCTTTAGAAGGTGTCTGGCAAGCAGAAAACTGCCCAGTGCTGCATAAAATCGGCACCCATGGAGCCCTGGAAAGCTTTATTCTAAGAAATATGAGTTCATTATATGAAATTTCCTGTAAGGTCATTCTGAAGAGAATTAATTGGGAGATAGGTGAGAATACTTGATTTCTTTGCTTTACAGAGAAAAACTTACAAACTTCCTAGAAACAGCTATTTCTCAAGGGCTCTTATTAAACTGTTTTTTTAACCAGAAGCCATCGATAAGCATTTGTATGTGGAGGACTACCAGCTCTGCTTACACTGAGGATGGTAGATTTCAAGTGTAGCAAAGCAACAGTTATTTCCTCAGTGCAGAATCTGACATAAGATACAGCTGAATGTAATCAAACTTTTCCAAGAAACTAATTGTGAGTTACTGAGAGTTTAAGGATTAGACCTAAATGTATCCAAATGTTCATAAAAATCAATGTTTTATACAAATACTGGAATGGTACTGAAACCAAAGCAGGCTCAAGACATGACACAAGATAGACTATAGTCAAAACATTACAGAAAATGAAATAACATGCATGAAAAAGGTAGAAAAGAATGTGCATATTTTTGAAGTTTAAATCCAGAATAGATTATAAATCACAACACTCACGGCAAAGAGTAGCATTCCTCCACTCTATGCATATTCCAGCATTGATACATGACTCAGCATAGGCTTGCAGTCCATAGCATAAGGATGTTGCCTGCCCACCAGTGAAACACATGTCATAAACACAGCTTTCAAAGAAATTCTCTGGAGGCACTTTGGTATGACAATCCTTGAATATTCCTGTGTAAATCAAGAAAGATATATAGAAGGATAGAAAAAAAAATTGGGAATGATAACACCACCACCACCATCTATTTTCTGTCACAGCAAATGTATTGTGAGTGCTTCAGGCTTACTTTGTTTAGTAAGTTAAACCAACACTTGAAACGGAGCACGCACAATGAGACTTAGCCCTCTGGGTCAGACTTCGTTCTTTTTGCATGATTGATGCAACACAGCTTACATAAATTAAGAGTTGCTCGCTAGGCAACTGCAGGGGCTCTCTAATGCAGGGAACTTCTACAGAATTTCAGATACAGTATCTGTAATACATGCAGTGACAGTACCCTGGCAGTACCCTCTGAACTATTTCTTTTAGCAAGCAAAGTGCAAGTCACTGTAAAGCAAAGAGCAGCTATGGCTCCCTGCACACATTCTCAGATAATCTTCATGGACACATTGGCACCATCTGAATGGTTGACATATCTTGACCAAGCACCTACGAGTTTTATGTTTGCCATTCACACTGGAGGTTTGATATGCTTCCAATGTGAGCTCAGAACAATGGACTATAGAGAGAAGACAACACAAGCTAGAAAGTGCTCCATCACATGGCTCACAGAGAACTACCAACGTACTACCTCTTGGGTCTGTGATCATGCCACATGCTGTGTTCTTCCTCGCTTCACTCTCAAGCACAGGATCACATTGCTCTTCTGTCCCACTAGAGCATCTGGGGAAAGCAAGCAAAATCAAGTGTGTGTTTAATTAACATCTCTTTCTATCAGATTTTCAGTGGAAGATTGACACATGACAGCCCTACACAACAGGGTGTAGTTTATTACAGTCACAAGACTTTATCCAGCTTCTTTGAAAAGCTGATGTCAGCCCTATCACTGAATGGACTCTCTTTTTGATGCTTTCTGATTCAAAGGCTTATTCTTAGCTAAAGAAAGACCCATGGCATCCAATCAGTTATCGTTTCCAATCAGGGAACTGGACTGAAGTCCCATCCCCCCTCACACTCAACCGACAGTTCCTGCTTTGGAAAACAAGACTTAAGGGCACAAGCCCTCTTGTCATTCCCTGTTTAATGTAAAGGGGCAGCTCCCAACATCTAACGGGCAGTTGCAAGATGTAATATGGTACTGGATGACAAAGCCAGTCAGTGGATGGGTGTTTGATTTTAGAGAGTTTGATTAGCAAATGCCAGATGATTAAATTAATTTACATACATGGTATTATTCTCAGGCACAAGCCAGCTTTGTCCAAGATCAGTGGAACCACTTGCAATGTCACCGTTGGGCTTTATGTTGTCATCATTTGGATCACCATTATAATTACCTGTAAGGTTAGAAAGAGATTTATGGGACACATGAAGTTCACATCCGCAGAACAAACCTAGGTTTCAGGCTGTAAAATAAACTACAATGAACTAGGGAGAGTATATATGCAACATCAGTGTGTACTGGGCAAAATAAGAAGAGCTCAGTTGTGTTTTAGGCTTTGACCACTGACAAAAACTGCTCTTCAGAGACTTGTGGACCTGAAGCAAGAAGTCTGTAAGTTCTTATGTAACTAGATCACATTGCATACAAGAAAGAATTGCTTGGCTAAAAAACCCCAGCTCATTTCCTTGGATCCTACCTGTAGAATGTTGGACTAAAAATCAAATGGTGTTATTTGCACCATTATATTCCTAGGTACATTTCCTGAATTGAAAGCATGAAAAACCCATGGAGAGATAATTGAACTAGGAAATTTCAGATGATCCAAATCAAAGAATAATCAGAAACTCAAAAGACAATCTACTCTTGTAATTTCTACAGTCCCATTTCTATCCTGATGTATATTTCATATAATCACTTGGATTTCAGAACATTGTTCCAACTAAACCTGCTCAGGTTCAGGCATTAGCAATATTAGTGACATTACTGGTCACTACTGATTCCAGTGAGCTCCTACTCTGGTTGGTTACATAAGTCACCTGTGACTCTTATTTACTTTGCTATCTTATTGCAACAGAATTTCTTACAGAACACAGTAGAATGTGCCCTTTGTGTCTGATCTTTCTCACAGGACTCTAAAAGGCCTCTATGCTTTGTATCATATATAGCATTTAATATTTTGTGGCATTTGAATTTTGGAAATAAAGTATGAATTTTCTTTCTTATTCATCAAGTCTGTCAGCTCAGGATTATCCATATTGGATCCTTGTCATTGCTTTGTTTTAATGTAGACAGTGCCTATCTTAGCTGGAATAAAAAGTAGGTAAAAATAAGCCTTAGTAGTCTACTTTTTTTTTTCTTTTTTTTTTTTGTTTTCCTTTGATCATATAAACATGATCATTCAGGTTGTATAAATACCTCCTAAAAAAGCACAGGAAAACAGCAGCAGGAAAGTTTGAGGATGTTGACAGTAATTCTGAAGATTGCTGTGGAAACAGCCTCAAGTTTTTATGATTCACAAAATGAAACGGTATAACATCCCTCACACCCAACAAAAGACAAATACATCAGGACTTAAATAATAGAAAAATGTACTTGTAGAATTCTTGAGTAGATGCATGCAAGTCATTACTCTTCCTAAATTTAAACTGTAGAACTGAAGATCATTTTTTTTTTATTTGGCTAAAAATGTTATTTGTAGTTATACCTCACAACATTCCAAATGGATAACGTTACCAGGAATTTTATAAGTACCAGTTCTTAGAAACTGAAAAATTCTAGCAAGTTTTTTTCACTGCTGTAAATTCTAGTCCATTTGACAAGGACTAGTTGTGTGTAAAGTAAGTATGACATGCTAAGAAAAGAAGTTTAACTTATCACCACACTCCACAACTCACTAAAAAGTGACTAAACCTATGACTTACCACAGAGGCCACAGAGCAGATCGCTGTAAGTAGAGGGCACAGAGACTTCTGCATAATGATTTCCATCATATCTCACCCACAGTCCAAAGTCAGTTTCCACAAGAACATATCCACCACTGCTTTGAATACTGATCTTTTCAATAAATACAGGCAGGTTCATTCTGCTGCCATTCAGCTGCACAGCAAGTTGTAAAAGTTAGTGTATGGCTGCTGGGACTCCTACAACTACCAGCAGCCAAAACAGATTAGTGAAAGATATGATCTGTGCACAAGGGAACTGAAAGTAATTAAAGAACATCTCATTTGAGCAAATTTATTGGACATCTCATTAAAAGAGGTACATTTAACTACTAAAAAGAGAAAGTTTGCTATGAACTCTACAATCAGAGAAAGTATTTCCTTATCTGCATGTCAGTTTAAGGATATTACATGTGTCTTTTAAACAAGTATTTTCTTACATTCACTTTCTTGTTTTTCAGCAAAGAAATCTGGTTGCCATAGACTTCCACTTGCACTGACTTCACATAAGAGACTTTGATGTTGGCTCCTCTGTGCTCATTTGTTGTGGACACATCAAAGTATGGAAGCCTCTCAGAGATGTTGCACACTTTGGAGAGGGTATAAGTACAATTTCCCATGAAGTTATGAACTCTGTGGTCAAAAGTGTTATAATGTGGATCCCCAGAGGCACTGCAGGAAGCACGGCCTGGGAAGAAAGAAGGACAGATTAATTCCTTCTGAATCTCTACCAGACTTCTGCAGTTCCTTTGTTCCCACTTTGTTTTACTTTGTAATTGCTGCTCAGATATAACAATCATGACATCATTCAAGAACATTCCAAAGCCCAGCCCAGCCTCCTGTCTTTGGACCCACAAAGAATCTGTACTCTTATGTATCGGAAATCTATGCTAGAGGTCGAGGAAGAAATATAAGCAAAAACCTTTGATACTAAAACAAGATTTGTTATTAAGACATCATTATATAAAGTGAGGCAGTGAGTTTTTAGTGTCCATGTATGAAAGGCTCTTTCTGACTAAATAGGAAGAATCTACTCAACAACTTTACAGGGTTGGTTAGCCAGAATAGACCTCTGCACTACCAGCTGTCTGAGGTTCTGTACTCATGTCAATTATGGCACTGCTATTGAACACTGCATACACAAGAAGTCCTTTACACACTTTTGAAAAATACTGAAGTTAATTAGCCAGTGATAATATGTACAAATGGAAGTACACTGTGTGTGTGCATTTGTATGTGTGAGCTGGGTAAGGTTTTGAGTGCTAATGAGAAATTCCCATTTTCAACAAAAAAAATCTTCCCATCAAACCTTAGCAGAGTTGAGCTTGCAGGTATTTTGTAGTGTTTATCAACAATGAGAAAAAATAATGAAAAGAGGTCCTCACCTCTTCTCTGCTTTTCAATGGCACGTTACAAAAATAGCTACGCTTATGGTTGTGTCTACATGTCAACCTTCAGTACTTACACACAAAGTATTAAAACTCCAGAAACTGCATATATACCAATTATCAAAAAACCCCAGATGTCCAAACTGACTAGGTGAGCTAGCACTCCCTTGTACTTAACAAGCTGACACATGTAGAAGACTTAGTGATTAAAACTGGAGAAAAAAAGCAGTTAGAACTTATCTAGACCGACATTTTACTGCATGTCCTAGGTACTAAAATAACAATAACCACAATGACTCAGTCTTTTCCAGGACCATATAATTGGATTATATCCAAAATAAAACCAGGATTTAGAAGATAAATACAATTTCAAAACACAGCAAATAATAACACCTGTATGAAAGGTGAAAACTTGTCATAGAAAAAGGAAATGGAAATCTTTATGGACATGGCAACAAAGGGTATGTGACATAACTGGCAGTTGGTTGACGGTTACCAAAAAGGAAGTACTGTGGCAAAATACACCAAGAGCAGGACTTCAATAGTGACTACTCAGAAAGAGAAACAGCTCTGAAGGACTGTCCTACCAACGTGATTGGGTGAACAGGAAAAAGCTCTGACCCTCCACTATAAAAACTCTGTCACTTGGCTGTGGGACAGGGATTAAAAAAACTGAGCAGTTATGACAGGCAGTAAGGTAAGAGATGCAGATGGGAAACAACAGTACCTGAGCTCGGTGTGGGTCTTGGCGGTGCAGGTGTGCGTGGAGGCAGTGTTGTAGTGCGTGGTGAGGGGATTGTGGGTTTTGGTGTCGATGGACCTAGCAC